AGAGGATACATGAACAGCAGCCTCAGTGTCTTTCTTCATGCGCTTCTGTGTCTAATTTGCAGACAAAATTTGGCTTTATATGCAGGTCTGTGTACCTGTGTAGGTTCTTGCCATATGCTTAGTGCTGTGAAATCTCAAAATGGTGATGGTGCAGACCGTGGGTCAATCAGGCCAGCTTTCTGAAGGATAGCAGTGGCTGTGTTGCTGCCAGCTTTGCAGCCAATGGCATCGCACTGCTGGGAAAGTCAGCTCTGCCTTCTGCATTGGGCTTTCCTCCCCACTCTAGAGTAGCGAGGAATGCCAGGCAGATGAGATGGCCAGATTGAGTTGCATAGTGTGTTTATTCCAAGCTGCCCCATTTTTCTGTCACAGTTGATATATAAATACTGTGTCTGGGCTGCTTCCTACGCAGTTCTGGGTGGTGTGCCAGGCGTTCGTGATGTGCACATCCACAGGGCAGCCCCAGAGCTTAGAGGAGCCTGATTTTGCCGTCACAGTCTTGTTTGAAGAATTCCATTAATGTAGGATTTGTTTGGACTTTCTGGACCCTACAGAAACATGGGACTTCCCTGCCAAGAATCTAGTCTGTGCCCAGGCTGAGCAGAAGCGTGTCATGCCAGGCAGCCCTGCTTCTGCTAGTGCTGGAGCTGAATGAAGTAAACTCTCCAGCAGATGAACATCTGAGCAGCAGTGAAGGTACCTCAGGTCTGCAAGCAGCTGCCCTCATAAAGAACTGATGGGAATGTCATTCTCCTCTCTGATAGCAGGGTGTCTGCAGTGCTCTGAGACAGGCTGCAGGGACTTTTCGTGTGATTTGGAGCTACAGAGACTGGTTAAATTGCCACAACAGTCTCTTAAACTCTGTTTCTTTTTTGCTTAGGACAGGCCTTCATGCATTTCCCATTTCGATGTCTGCAAGGTGGAAGGAGCTTGCTGGGGGCCCTTTGTGTCTTTAGCTGGGTCTGACAGCCTGAGCACGTGGTCAGCATTGCTAATCGCTTTTATGTGGAACATGTATTATGAGCAATGGGCTATGTCTGCCACTGCAAGCAAGCCCTTTAGAGAAGAGTCAGTCAGATGCCTCACGGGCTTGTCCTCCTTCCCCTGCTGTAGGACACTGCAGAGGGTGAGGTGTGCAGTGAGCACATTTCTCACCAACAGCCAGGCAGGGAGGAGTCCTGGCCAGCGAGCGAAGACTGCCAAAGCCAGCAGGTGCCACAGAGGGGTAGCTGCACAAGGCAGGGAGCAGCTCTGTGCCTGCACATACACATCCACCCCCCCTTCCCCCACAGTGGGCAGCTGCCCACTAGCCCAGAAGCACCATGCCATGCATGCGTTGCTGCTGGCAGGGGCTCAGCCGTGTGCACCTGCTGTGCCGCTCCTGTCGTCGGGACAGAATCACTGGAGAAGCTGTTCCCTGTAGCCCTGGCCAACGTGCTGCCATGGGCAGATGTTGGAGAGGTCCCCCCATGGTGGTGTGCAGGGGCGAGTGCCTGTTCTGAGACATCTTCTTTTGCCTCTTTCCTGTGCCTTGCCTCGGTCCGTCCCTGGCTCACCCAGACAGGCCACCATCCCCTGTCAACGTGACTGTGACGCAGCTGAAGGCAAACTCTGCCACAGTCTCCTGGGACGTCCCAGAAGGAGACGTGGTCATCGGCTATGCCATCTTACAGCAGGTATCCAGGCTCTGTCCCCAGGGGGCTGGGGACCCCTCTCACTGATTACCAGCATGCTCCTATGTCAGCCCTTTTGCTGCAGTTTGGAGCTCCTCTGGCACCTGCCTGAGGACACCTCTGCTGTTGAGCAGCCCTTGCCAGGGCTCCCTGTATGAGCTGTCCATCCTGGTGGGAGGCAACAGACCTTGGGCTGCACTGGGGTTAGCTGTCCCTCCAGTGGCTTCCCTGCAATTTCTCTGGATAAGGATGGTGCTTCAGCCATGACATAACCCTTCTTTGCTTGCCTTGCTCCACCTCCACAGCCCCAGATGATGGTGGCTTCTCCAGAGAGGCAGCTGGCTCTCAGCCCCCACAGGGATGCCGCATAGCAAAGTGCTGGCCAGCCTGGCCCACCCCAGGGGTGGATGATTGCCCGGGAAGGGAGGAGTAAGGGCAGTGTGCCCAGCACAGCTCTGCAGACAGGGGCCTGTGCCTGGTGCAGCTGGGAACAGCCTCCTGGGGATGACAGCTCTTCACTCTGGCAGCGGCAAGATGGACAGATGCAGCGCTTCATCCGGGAGGTGAACACCACCAACCGGGCCTGCGTGCTGTGGGACTTGGCGGAGGATGCTGATTACATCATCCAGGTGCAGAGCATCGGCCTGTATGGAGAAAGCCAGGCCAGTAAGCGTGTCCACTTCCGGACCCTGAAGGATACCGACCGCCTCCCTTCCAACAGCTCCAACCAAGGTGAGGCAGCGCCTTCCAGCTCGCCCAAGTCCCGCTGGTGGGGCCACACCTGGAGGTCTCCACAGCACACGGCCAGGGATCCAGCAGCAAGTGAGGAAGGTGCTGCCCTGTGCAGCAGGCTGCTTGGGACACACAGAGTCATAGCAGGTAGCAGGGTTGTACAAGCTGCAGTTGTGTCCACTACGGCCACGATAATGTCCCCAAGCCCTAGTTTACAGCCCTCCTATTCCAGGTCTTGGCACCCTATTCAGCTAAGTAGGCTGTGGCCAGGACAACTGCAGTGGCCTGCTCAGCTGCTGCCCATAGGAAGCAAATATTGAATGGGCTCTCAGATCTCCCAGCCTGCAAGCTACCGAAGGACAAATGACAGAACCCCACAGTCTCCTTTCCTACTCATATCCATGTTGTGCCTTCTTGCTTTGGGGTTGCCTACATGCTGGTCCATCAGAGATGATACAAGAATCCAAGAGAGATGATGCTCAGAGGGGGTCCACTGGGCATGGGAGTCTGCCGCCCACACTGGCCGTAAGAGAGGGACTTGAGAAGAGTGTAACAGGGCAAGCAGATGGCTAACTTTCCTCAGAACTTTTGTGTTCATCTTAGGACCTTTCTAACCTGCCCTGGTCCCTACGTAGGGAGTAACCTCAGTGATTACTCCCATGCATTGTGTAGTTCCTACATGAACCCAAACAAGCTGTTAGAATCCCTAACTGCCTTTGGTAGCTAGAATGGTTTATCTGATGCAGGAAAGCCACAGGCTGCATGTCCTCTCCCTAGCCAAGATGTCCTAGACCTCCCCATTGTCTAGGGGAGGTGGGCCTCTCTCCTCTGGAACTCCTCAGATCCTCAAGTGTTGCTGATCCTGAAGTAGGTTGTGGTATCTGCTGCCAGTCCTGCCTGGGTTCTCTTCTCTGCAGGTGACATCACCATGGAAGGGCTGGACAAAGACAGGCAGCTGCAGACAGGCGAGATTATCATCATTGTGGCTGTGCTGCTCATGTGGGCAGGTGAGTGCCACAAGCAGCGTTCTGGCAGGCTGGGGCAGAGGTGCAATCCAGGGTCCACAAAGAGTGCTGGAAGAGCAGGAGGCAATGTGGGACTCAAACAATACAGGATTACAGGGTGGGAGCATCCCAGCTGACACCAACTATCATGTAACTTTGTCCTTAGCTAGCTTGTCTGACATTTGATAACATTGCTGCACTGGCTAGTAGTGGTTGTACCTCAATCTACTAAACCTGTGAGGTGGGTGATTTGCTCCTGTACAGCACCTGATTAAAGCCAGTGTTCTAGCAAACAGCAGGTTTCCCTGGGAGCAAGGAAGCCTAGGCGATAGCAGTCAGCTCCTGACAGGTTACATGCAGCTGCTGTGAATGGGAAGTAATTTGTCCTCTACTCCCTTCCCAGTAAATGTGGATTTGCTAATGGCATCTTGCAAGAATCTCTCTTTGTCCTGGCCTTGAACACTTTTCTAGTTCACTGAAAGAAAATACAAGATGGCTGCTGCTAGCTTACACCTCGTGCAGGTTGGTGTGTCAGAGTGCCAACAGGGAGAAATTGGGGCCAGTCTGTGGGTGGCTGTGATAACGCACTGTGGTTTGAATGGATCCAATACACCTAATGATTACAGTTCAAAGCATTGCTTCAGAGCCCTGTGTCCAGGTTCCCAAGGCGTGGGACGTGTGCTGCGTGAGATGGGTGCTGTAAAACCATGACAGAATGATTGATTCCACAGTCAGTCAGTCAGTTTGCAAGACAGGACAAAGCCAGAGGCTGGCTTTTGTGATGGTCACAGGCACTTCACCAATAACTTTAGTGCCTTGCTGGAGGCACTCAGACACCCACTCAACTGCTCGCTGACCTCAAGGGCTGGCCCTTTCCAGGTGCCTCAACATTTGCCTTTGGCCTCAGAGCCCCGAGCCATACACACCTCATGTGTGCCCTGATGGCTTTAGCTGCGTCCGTGTCTCAGCTGCCCAAGGACACTGGCCTGACCACACATGCAGAGGCGCCTAGGGTGGTCCAAGCTGACACAGGTGGAGAATGTGGGTGACCAGCACCCCAGGGTGCCCTGGGCCTGACTGCTCTCCAGCTGGGATGTTGTGGGGAGGCAGAGGGCAGCCAGTGTGAGGGAGTCCTCACCCCCTGTCTTTCGGCAGCGGTGATCGCCCTCTTCTGCAGACAGTATGACATCATCAAGGACAACGACTCCAACAACAACAAGGAAAAGACAAAGCCGTCCTCAGAGCACAGCACACCAGAGCGACCGAGTGGAGGGCTGCTGCGGAGCAAGGTGAGTGGGGAGGGCTGGTGGGAGGGATGGCATGCGACATCTGCTGTGGCTTGCTGCCTGGACAGGTTCTGGCTTTCCCCGGAAACAGGAACACCCGAGCTCATGGTCTCACCCTAAAAACTGAGGGGTTTTAGGTGCAGTGAACCCTCGACTCTCTGGGGCAGTGTGTGTGCCCCATGAGTGACTGCAGGAGAAACACTGGAAGACACAGCAGGATATATTGGCTGGGATGGTTCCCACATTGCAGGGTGGTACCTGCTCTCACTGTAACAGCCCTTTTACCATGCCCCCCCCAAGGCTGCACCTCTTCTGCATCCCGTAGGCAGGTCTGGCTCCTGCCTGCTCAGGAGCAGGAGGTGGACAAGCTGGGCAGCTGTTCTTACGGTTCCTGCACTGGTTTATCACTGCTCGCTTTCTGCCTTCACTGGAACCCCAGAGCCGCTTCCCCACCCTAATGGAGGTACTGTGCCGGGCTGTGGATGGGGAGGGAGCAGTACTTTCATCTGTCTGTTCCTGCAGCACCTAACACCTCTCCTTTTGTTACTTGACAAAGACAGTGATTTATAACCCTGATGCACATGTTCTAGCAAGACCTTGCATTACGTTTTCCCTTGTGTCTCATCTGCCTCCTCTATCAATGGTGGGAACTCTACTCACTGTGTTGCATAACTGCCCCTCTGCTTCCACGTCTTGGTTTCCAGCAGATGTCAGGAGCAGAAACTTGCTGTTTGGACTTCAAGGCCCCAGTTCTTCTCCTCCAGATTTTCCAGCTTCCTGATTACTGCTTGCCAAAAAGATCTCTCCTCTTAGATCCCCGCTTCAGACTGACCCTGCTCATACAGGGCTACAAAGGCAGGTGAAAAGGCCTGTTCTTGCTGCTTGTGAAGTTCACCTGTACAGGGCTGATACCCCTCAGTTGGTGTTTTTGCATTCACCATACTCTTGGCATCCTTGCAGGTGACAACACTGCAAGTTTATTCTTGAAGTCCTTCATTTCAAAGCTGGGAACAAGGTACAGGAAAGAAAAAGCTCTGCATTCACTTCCCCTCCTGGCTTCAGGGCCAGGCTGCTGTGAAGTATCAGACAATGGTGCAGCTCTTGATCTGAGCCGTGTTGTAAAGTGTGGTCATTGGGATTCTTGCCTTCTGCACCCTACTTAAGAGTGCAAGTGCTCAGCTACAACACACATGTGCAGCAACCAGGACCCTTCCCTTCCCAGCACCTTCTCTGAATTCACATAGCTGCTGTGCCCTTCAATGAACACATTCCTTTTAGCGTAAAGGAAAGTGCCTGCTCGTGCTTACAACAGTTTATGAGAAAATCCACCTCACCACCCACAGCCTTTAGTTTCTTGGCACACGCCAGAGCTGTCATGAGGGGCATGGCAGTGAGACATGCCTGGAACTCAGCAGGTCTCATCTGTTCCCCCACCCCGGTCATGCCATGCTTTGTGGAGTCTCTGCCCCATGGCTCCTACCCCCTTGCGTACCTTTTGTGCTCTGACCTGGCACCTACCTCCTGTCCAAGGGCATCAGGTGTAGCATGGCAGCCACTAGGGACCAGAGAGAAGTCACCAGACATCTGCAAGCCTTGGAGGCTGAAGAGTGTGGGGCAGCGGGGCTGGTTTCACCCAGGAGTACTGAGGCACAGCAGTGGGCAGAAAGGCTTCCTGGGGAGGCAAGTATGTGAAGGGACTCACCTGGAGGGAGGGCACCAGGTGATGCAGCTGGGCTACCTGAACCTTTCTGCCAAGAGAGCACATCAGTGCAAAAGGCCTGGGTTTCATGGTTGGCTCCCTTGGTCTCCTGAGGGAGATGCTGAAGCCAGGTCTCTGCTGCAGCTTACCCACACCTCAGCTCAGGGCAGAGGGCTTAGCGGCAGCCCTGTTGCAGAGGAATTCCGCTGGTCGTGGTGCCTGCCATGGGAGGCTGGGGGCTCTGCTGTGGGGTCTGAAACCCCGGGGCTTAGCAAACCAAGGTCTTAAAGCAGATTTTTCTCTCATAGAAGAAGTCTCCCTCGGTCAATATAATCGAGGTGTAAGTGCAGCACCAGCTCTGCGTCTGGGGTCCTGGGCGTCCTGCCAGAGCCAAAGCAGGCCTTGGAAGAAGAGGCAGCACCAGGTGCCTGGCCTGGAACTCTGCATGCGAAGATCCGCGTATCAGAACTTACGCTTTCCCGAGGGCGCCTGTCCAAGGATGTGCATGGAGCCAGCTCCCAGCCGTGCATGCCGTGCGCGGCCCTGCCCGTCCCGCATGCCTGGCCCCGCTCCCCTGCCACGGTGGCGCGCGGCGCTGGGAGAGGGTGGGAGGGCACAGCCGCGGATGCCTGCCTGGCAGGCAGCCTGGAGCAAACCTTGCTCTCAAGCACGGTGCCTGGGCTCAGAGGGCTGCCTGCGGAGGGTGGGAGCTGCTCCCCTTTTGGCCCTGAGGCTGAGGGGATGGGGCAGTGCAGGCATTCGCCCCAGCACTGCCAGGGAAGTCGTGGCTGGGTGGCAGGAGGGTTTGTCTGTGGAGCTGGGCCCAGCGAGCACAGATGAAGAGTGGATCCCTGCTGGAGAACGGGGCTCCACTGCACCCCATCGTTGCCCTGCAGGGGCTTCAAGGCCTGTCCCTGCTGCAGGGGACAAAGACACAAATGAGCATGAAGAGCTAGTGCTGCCACAGTGCCTGGGTGGCCTGCAGAGTGTGCGCAGCCAGGGCAGGGAGTGCTGGTAGGAGGCCATTCTGTGGGGTGGTGCGAGCCCCACAGAGCTGTGGGAGCAGGCAGTGCCAGGGCATGGCTGTGGCTTTGCCGTTTCCCTAATAGGGCTCAGTCCTGACACATTCAAGCTGTTTGTGGGGGGAGCTGCTGAGCACCCTGTGAGCAGTGCGATGCCTGTGCTGCCTGGAGGAGATAATGTGGTGAGGCCCAGCAGGGTCTCAGCAGGCTCAGCAGGATGCGCGCTGCAGAGCTCATCACTGCTCTGGGGACAACCCCAGCTTCAACAGCATCACATCACTCTCCTGGCTCCTTCTGTCTTGCGGAGGTATGGTCACTGCTGATGCTCCTGCTCCTGGAGCTGGTCCCGTGGCCTGCAACACGTTGGCTAATGTGACACAGAGCTGTTAGAAAGGGCTGGCCCTGAATGCCCTTGAATGGTCCATGGTGGACTGCTGATTTGTTGCTATGTGCCCAGTCTGCCTGTTCGTGCGAGGACAACATAAGCCATCTACCACCCTGGGGCTGGTGAAGTGGTGATGTCTGGACTGCTTGTTAGCTCCCCAGAGCCTGCAGGCAGAAGTCTCTCACTGGGTATCTGCACTGCTCTGTGTTTGAGGCTGAGGCCATGCCCTGGCATGCCCTCTTGCCAGCAGAAGGAGGGAACAGGGTGATAGAAGGAGGCTCTGTGCTTCAGAGATGGCAGCTGGTGCCCTGGCTGCTGCTCTCCCTCCATGCTCTGCTCTGCGGCCCATCACTGAGCTGGGGTGCTGGCTCTGCAGCCCTGGACTCAAGCATCACAGGATCCAGTGTCTTCCAGGAATAAACCTCCCAGTAAAGCACTTTCAGGACTCTTTGTTCCAGGTGCTGCTCTGCTCTTGCTGCAGGACTAGGTGGGGAAGGGACAGGATAAGCGACTCTCTGTGGCAGGGTCTTTTCAATAAAAGCATCCTGGCTCAAAGGCAGCATTGTCCCTGCAGAGTTGCCGGGGCGGTGGGGGGGTGTGGTGGTGGGGGGGGTGGTGGTGCAGGCGCGTGCATGTGTGTACCAACACTTCTTGAACATGTATGTATGGCCCTTAGAAGGAGACCTGCAGGTCCTCTAAGATCGTCTTGCACGCCTCTCTGGCCCTCGAGGGAGTGCCAGTGTTGCATGCTGGGCCATGTCATGCTGGTAGATGAGATTCACAGACTGTCCCACTGAGGATGGCATCACAGCTGCTTTCTCTGCACAAACCAGCCAGGCTGCAGAGAGACCTCGGCAGCAGGGCCAGGAAGGAAAATGAAGCCAGATCCCAGCAAGCTGCTGAGCAGAGGGGGCTATGCTGCTTCCCTGGTCAGGTGAGAGGGGGTCCCTGAGGACCAAAAGCACCATGGTGGTAGGGTGCAGGTGCTGCTGTGATATAACTTGGGCCGCAGGGAGCATGGCCATAGCGCCAGAGAGACAAACCACCTTGTTTTGCCAGCTAAGCTCTGGGTTTTAGGAAGATACATTAAAATATTAGGGCTGTCAGGGAAATTTTTAAAAAGTAAATGTACAGAGGTGCTATCCTGGAGGCTCAGAGCAGACACATGCCTACTATCACGAGTTCTTTAACCAGAGCAAAGGCACACACACAGAAACAAAGGAGCATGACTGTGCAGCAGAGTCCAGGAGCTGGGGGAGACACCAAAAAATGTATGTCAAAATGCAGTGGTTGTGGCTAAATGAAAAAAGCAGCACAAAAGTCTGTCACATTAAATGTAAAATCAGGGTGTGGTGTTAAGGCAAAAAAGACACCATACCCATCCCCCCCCCCAAAAAAACCCCCCACACCCAAGCCACCACTGCTTTCTCAGACCATGGCAGTGCAGGAAGGCAGGGAGCTGCAGGAATGAGTGCTGCACAGGAAAGGCAGCAGCAGTGTTGGACAACAGTATATTCTGAGGCACATACAAGCACACACCATGTGAATGAGTTTGGTGTCACCTGCAAGGGACAGTGCAAATGCCTGACACAGTGCCAGGGCAGAGCAGGACATGCACACGCATAGAGGTACACACAGCCCCCCCACCCATCTTGCAGCACCAGCACCACAGTGGCACAGGGAAAGCGCTGTGTGGCTAATGCAGAGCAATTCTGGCACACCAATTTAAGAGATGTTGGACAGTATTAGCACACGTGTGGGTGGTGGTGAACCCATTGCTAGCTTGTACATCACTAAAACAGAGCAGACTTGGCAAAAGCACTCACACACACAAGGCTGAGATGGGGGGGGAACAGTTCACTCACTGCAGCAATGGCTGGTTGAAGCCAGGAATAACGGCAGACCTGGCACCCATGAAGTCCCCCTGCAAGAAGCCATACAGGGCTGCAGCATTCAGCATAGTCACAGCAAAGAGCACGCTGCAGCAACCCTGAGTCCCAGGGAGAGAGGCTGCTTGGAGCACTTCTGTCTGGAGACGTGACAGCTACCAGGCAGCAGGGTAGAGCCCGCTGTCCTCCCCAGTGGCAGAAGACAGTGAACAATTATTCACAGGACAAGAGCAAAATGTGAGTGAAGGAATCGGCGTGTGCTGGCATTAGCAGCAGCATTTTCCACCCCTCAGCAGTACTCAGCTGGAGGACAGCATGGATGCCAAGCATCCTGGTTCAGCGCGGGGCAGGAAGCCACGTCAAGGGCTGTTAAATCCACACCACCAACAGGTCAGCCATGTCTCAGTGTTCGAAGCTGAGGACCTGACAATGACCTGCTCACCCTAACAACCCCAATAACATCTGCAGGTTGCTCTGTGCCCTCAGCTGTGGGAGGACAGGCATGAGACCATGACTCAACATGCAAAACCACAAGTGAGAAGCACAGTGCACAGCTCGACTGACCTGCAGGCACCCAAGCCTCCCTAGAGTGCAAAGCTTCCCCTACAGCACCTGCCTGCAGCACTCGCTGGGAGATCAGCTCTGCCACCCCAGGCTGCACACAGAAAGTACTGCTCAGCCGGGGCTGTCAGCGTCACCAGCCTTAGAAGGGGAGATGTGCTGCAATGTGACAGGAACCCAGAAGCAAGGTCCTCAGTCAGACAGCAGCTGCACACTATTACATGCTGGAGAAACCAGTCATCCTGCTGGCCAAAGCCTTCCGTACTCTATCTGAGGAACCAAACCAAGCACATGGCTTGCTTGTGTCTCCAGACAACAGCCAGGCATGCAGCAGTGCAAATGCACCCCAGAGCAGAGCAGGCACACAGGGGGCTTGTGTCCTGTCAGCTCCCGTTGATGCAGATTGCATTCAGAGGTGCTCAAGCTACACCAGGCCAGCACAGTCTGCACCAGCTCCCCGTGCCAGATAACAAGGGCCACACTGGGCCCCAGCAGCCCTCAGCATAGGGGAAACAGCTCCCTCAGGGCCAGCAGCCAAGGACCTCCAGGGCAGCTGCAGGCTCTGTGAGCTTGAGGCACAGCCCAGGCCCTTGCCCCAGGTGAGGAAACCTCACCTCAGGCAGCGCAGCAGACACCAGTACCTTGCACACTTGTGCACAGCACCCTATCCAACACTCACACCCAAATGACCACAGTAAAAAACTCCATTTATTTCCCTATAAAGGCAGAGCTTTCCTTTAAAAACCAGCTCATCTTACTAGGGCTCAACTGCAGGGGCAAGGCCTTCCTCACTCCTCCCAGCCAAGAGCTATTGCCCCCGAGGGTCATACACGCCAAGCAAGTCCTCCACCGTCTCCTGTGGGCTGCTCAGCCTCAGCTGGTCCCCAGCTGCCACCACAGGGAGCACAGCCGGAGAAACAAGCAAGGCAGGTCAGACACAGCGTGGGTCGAGGTGCACTGGCTGCATCCTGCAGGCTCAGAGCACTTGGGGTGGCTCTGCATGCACTGGGAGTGGGCAGAGCAAGGAGCACCAGGCCACCAGCCCGAGCCTGGAGCAGGGAGCAGCTGCAGTTTGAGGCAGTTCATGCAGGCGGAGAGCAGGACCGGGAACGGGTGTCACAGTCTGTGCGCTGCATGGCAGCAGTGCCAGCAGGCCCACTGCACTGCCTGGCCCAGGTGTTGGCACAGGGTAAATCCTGAGCGGCTGGTCCATTGTTGCAGAGACTTGGTCATCCCAGGGAAGTCTTGGGGCCAGCAGTCCTGGGGCCAGCTGCAGGGAGGTCTCCAGCCCCTCCCAGCTCCTTCCATCGGTCTGGGGGTTGCCCCAGGCGGTAGCACAGTAGCTGTGCAGTAGGAGAGCTCACTCTGGGCACAAGAGGTACCGACTCTGAAAAACAAGAGGGAGGAAGACCTGGTCCATGAGGCATGTGGTTGGGAACACATCACAGCCTGGGAGGGGAATTGGAACTTCCCAGGTGAGCCATCAG